TTGAAGCGATCAAGTAATGTGATAGACAATGAAAGTGAGGATGCGTCAAAGAGTGAAGTCGTGAAAAAACGGAAAACGAAAAAGATTGATGTGATTATAGAGGATGAAAGTGGTGAGACGTCAAAGAAAGGAAAGACTATGAAAAAATGAAAAAAGAAGTATTAACGGTTAAGTCGTGGGTTAAACTATTATAATTCATTAATCGAATTAATCCTTAGCCAAACATTTCAGATATTTATTTTTATGGGATGGACAAAAAAAATTTTTCGAGTTTGTTGGTCAATCATTTCAGGAGGGATAAGTCTAAAATACTCTTAATTCATTTTACATTACTATGTAAATACTTATATGTTTTTGCATCAATAAAGCAATAAAGCTGGCCCCGGTGGCTAATTTTACATAACTAATCAGTTTACATTTGCGTGTATATTTCGTGAATTTATTTTTTGTATTATTATCGATGTACATTACTCGCATATGATCGAGAATTTTTGGCAAACTTTCTGAACCGAGTTCAGGAAAAACACGTGATCATATTTTTAACCGATTTTATACAGTATATAAAAATTATTATCGAATATGCTGTCCGAGGATATCAGTTCACTTAAAGAAGAAAATGCCAGACTTATGGCTAAGATTATTGGGCTTGAGGCAAGGAATGTCAAGCTTGAGGATGAGAATATGAAGCTGAGGACCGAATTCAAAAGTAGAATCGAAGAGTTGGAGAAGAGTAGGTCAGATATTGCTGGCGAGAATGCTAGACGTGATGATGCAATTGCAGAGCTTAAGGCTGAAGTATTGAAATTAAGGGATGACAATGAAGAGAACAAACAAGCCCAAGATATCTCTCTCGAGGAAGTTAACAATGTGCCTAACCTCTTTGTAGATCATCCTAGTAACGACAGTCCTTCACCTTGTGAAGAAGATAGAAAGACTGAGGAATTCTTAGACTCAGTGCAGAAGAAAAGTGTTAGTGATGGGATAAGGTTGAGAAAGCGGGAAGAAAAGCTTTAAAAACAAGACTTAACTTCAGATGATAAAAGATCTCTACAGAAGAAAAATCAGAGGGAAAAATTTATTCAGAAAGTGTCTTCAGACCTGATACAGAGTGATACTGACCTAGCCAAGCAACAACTGGTTATACTATCTTCAACTTCAAGCCCATACAGGCAGGCAGATTCTTCGAGCTTTGCGCATTTATATGAAAAACTTCGCGATGCTGAGAATTTTGCTGATCGTGCGGTTCAAGAAGCTATTATATATTACTGTCAATTTGGGAAAGCTCTTATTCAGAGACGAGGTGAGATAGCATCTGAGAGACAAGTTGATCCAGAATCCAATGCTGTCAGTAGAGTTTTAAATATGGAAGTTAGGGTTCAGCTTCCTGCAAATACTTCTGATGCACTTTTATGGAAAAGAATCGAGCAGGCCAAGAAACTCTGAAAGCTCTTTGACGCAATAGGTATGGATAAAATTTATCGAATTCATTCCTTTTCTGTTAGCAGTATCTCAAAAATGACGAATAAGGAGATTTAATATATTATAGATAATATGTCAGTCAATTACAGCACTAAGATAGAAACGTCTGCCTATGCTATGCCGAAAGATGGTTTACCAAGTAATGAAAAAATTCCGAATTGTCACCTCCTGATCTCAGTTCAGGAAGTGATAAGAAAAATTCCGAGTTGTCACATATTAATACTTCTAACACATCGGAGGAACAAATATCTTCAAAATCTGGAGTAAATATTATACCTGTATCTCGACCAATTCCTAAGATAAATCCAACTCATGAACACACCTATTTTCAAAACAAGATATTGGATCAATATCAAAATTTATATAGAGAATTTAGTAGTGAAAATTTTGATTATTATGGAATTACTAGCGAGAAAATATGCCTATTATGCGAGTTAGAGCATAATGAAGAAGAAAGTATAGAAAGGAGATATATATCAGGAGCCTATTTTATTAAATATGAACAGTACGAAATTGAAATAGTTGCATAATTTGGTCACTTTGGACAGAGGTGCTTTGTATAACCATATATTTGCTCACGCTTCATTGTGTTATTTTTTTACAGGGCTAATTTACATCGACTATGCTTACTATAATTAAAATTGATTTGCAATCATATAAAAAGACAATATGACCAAGTCTGATAAAGTATTAACCCCCGAATATCTGGATTAGCATGCCAAATTAAGTGAGTTACCAAGCGTTTTGACAGATAAGATTCGGTCCAACTTATATAAAAAATATAAAAAAGAAACTGGGCATGAGCCATGGCAATTACCAAAAGCTGTGATAAGTATGCCACCAAAGCCTAAGACCTCTGATTTCAAGCCTATCACTTATGAAGCCAAACCTGATCCAGAATTAATTATCAAATCCGTATTAGAGCATTTCACATACTTGAAATTCTGAAATAGTTTTAGAGGAATTGATAATTATAATTTTGTATCACCTCAGCCATGGAGCTCACCATGCCCTATTTGCAATGGAAAACATGGGAATTATAGATTACATGGCGAATGATACCGCGAAAATAGGAATCAGCTCCCTTATGATCCTGAATTAGCGAAGCTGTATTCCCAAGATAAGTTGGAATATTGTCTTACCTGCAATACTTCAAGTAATAAACTCAAGTTCGTGATCGTAGCATAGATTAATAAAGTTTTTAATATAGTTTCTACTAATTGCAAACCACATTGTAAAAAAAATTGCGTAAAAATAAAAAATGGCGAGGTTACCGGACCCCCTTCTTTATTTCATAAAAAAAAGTTGCCAAACAGCTTACAAATAAGAAAAATAAAATATATATGTTTTGAGAGGATGAATTAATTATACATTTGATCTAACATTTCTTCGGCCTCACCGGGATTCATATCGTCCCAGTTATCATTCCTTATATGTCTTTCTATAGATTTTTCTGAAAGTGGTGTCCAGAAATCACTTCTCTCTATATAATACTCATCGACTTGTAAGATACCATAGGTCGAATTATTTGATTAAATAAAATTTTACTTCATAAGCATTTTTTTCTTATAAATTCGAAAAAAAAAATCTAACAGAATATATTATCACCCCGCAGATCAAAACAAGGGGTGGGTTTTACTTACCATGCCTGTTTCTTCTATTATTACGTGAATTGGATGTCCTTTGGTTAGGCCTTGGATTGGGCGGTATTGGAGGAACATAATAGGTCTCAGAGAGGTTGTCATTAGTTATGGAAGTGGTGGTGGCGTTATTATCATTGGTCTTGGAGGCGTTACTATCACTGATCCTGAAGCCTTATTTTTTTTGTTTTTGGTAGTGTTATCGTTAGTGCTCATTTTTCGTTCCTAAATAAAAAACATATAGTAAGTAAAAATTCAATTTTCTTAGTCTCTATTAAATGGTACATTACTTTTAAAAATATGGGCAAGTGAATCAAGTAAAAATATATATGAGCAAAAATAATGTTATTGCTAACTTATCTTATAGGTGAGAACTTGTATTTTTATACCGTTCGCTAGATCTAAAAAATCTGCCAGAAAAAAAGTTACATGATTAGTAATTGCAGTAGGGTAACGCAATCTAGATTTCACCATGTAAAGCAAGTCTACTCGGTCATAAGTTCCAAATGCTGAATCTATTTTGCCATTTTTTTTAGTTAAAATATGATCTCTAGATTTGCTGATAGTTTAGAGTAGGCTAGATCTTAGAGATAGCGGAGATTCGAAGTCCCTATAACATATAAATTTTGATAAAACTACTGATTGAGAATGTTATACTCATTGCTCTTATAGTCTTTTTAAGTCTCATTCTTATCGCGGGATCGTATAAAGTAAGAAAAAGGGTCTAGATATTCATAATATTTGTTAATAAAAAAATCGCACTGTGAGAAATGATTCTGCAGAAGAGTGATACCACATAAAATTTAATGCAGACCATTGATTATTAAAGCCAGTCAAGATTTTATCGTTCATTCGAACTGATAAATCTGAATATCAAGTGATCGCTATCGTTATTATCATAAAAAATAAAAATATTAAACTCTGATGGCCTCTGGAAGCCATCGGGGATACAGAATTTATACAATAAGAATTTGTAAATTTTGTGTGGGACCCGTGGGACCGTTAAGTCATGATAATTGACTAAATGTCAAAATAATTTAGGATCTACCCTTTTCCGCTATCATTATTCTAAATTTGTACGTGCTGTCTAGGGATGCTGACGACTCAATCGATTCTATTGATTAATCGGTTTTTAAAATAATGAATATACAAGTCGGGTCAAGCCATTAGTATCCCTGGTGTTGACAATATTCGCTTTATGTAAATAACGCACATATGGGGTGTTATCAATTAAAACAGCCCTTTTTTACTTTTTTTAAAAAATTGAGTTTTTTCGATTTTCTAATAG